CCGCACCGCGCTCAGCCAGTGAGCGCACTGGCCATCCCTATATAGGATCCAAACCCGCAGCAGGAGCGCCGCTGCGCTCCCAAGCGCTGCACTCACCCGAGTGCGCCATGGGGCCGGCCCTGTGCCCATTCTTTTGACCCTGAGCACAGGACATCCTAGCCCATTGAACCATGCTTACTTCGTGGCTGCCCCTTCCCACCCCCCGCTGCTGATGTGCTAGGAGCCCAACTGAGTTCAGCAGAAACTCAGAAGCATGAGTTCTCTCCTCTCTTCACCACTCACCCCCACATGTGAGGGCAGACAGACTACTTATCATTGCTGGTTTCTGCTCAATTTGTAAAGTGTAATCATCCCACTATCCCTGATGATACCAGGCATAATGAGGATTTTTAAAAGACGTCAATTAAATTATTAGTAAAAGTGCTTTGAGTTCCCTCCAAAAAGGATGACACACAATATTAGTTTCAAAAGAAGTCATATTTGTAGGAATAATGGAAAACATGAGGCTGTTATCTTCTGTCTTTCCACTATTTAGTTTTTAAAAAGCATTTTCTATAAATTACATTTCTCAAGATGTGAGGTTAAAACGAATGCCAAGAATTTGAATGAGTGCCTTTCCCCGAGGTTGGAGTGATAAGAATGTTTTGCTCAGTTAAATATCCCTTTGGATTTGGTATAACTCAGTTTTCTATAAGAAAGTATCGTCCAGTAACATCTAGATTGACAAGCCTAGGAGATGCACCCTACAAGGTTAAAAAAAAACCGGGCTGCCTTCACATAGATGTCAGCCTCATTATCTATCTGAAAAACATGAATAATGACATTTGAGTTGTCACAACCATGTCCAGCAGGAATGTTGGGAGATGTAACAGCATGCAGTAGTTATTTTTCTTATTGCTCTCCATTCCAGTATTGTTGCTATTATTTTCTTCATAGAAACTGATGCCACAACAATGAAAGATCATCACACCCTGCTAGGCATTTTGCTGGAGGTACCCAGCATGTTATCTTGCAGGCAAATACCATAGCTGCCAGCCAGAGTTGCTGTTTAGAAAAATGATGGCGTTTTCTAGGAGAAGATAAGGAAAATTAAGCAATTAACATTAAACAGTATTCTTTCTCACCTGCATTTTTCTGGGCTTAGACTCTTCAGTTGAGGAGTAATAATATGCTTATACGAGGGTACTTCAAAAAGTTCATGGAAAAATAGAACTAAAAGATAATATGAATCTTTCCATGAACTTTTGAAGTAGCCTCATACCCTATGCACTTTTTCACTTCTAAAATTGTCTTTTACATTGACTTTGAACTGAACAGCTTGAAAAAAGCCGAAGATTATGACCCATGATGATAAGGTGTAGCAGATATGAATTTTTTAGCCTCTGAATTGAGAAGACAACAAGATGTCACTATTGAAGCCAGAACTCGAGGGGCTGGTGGGTTAACTCAGTTGCTTAGAGCGTGGTGCTGATAACACCAAGGTCTGGGGTTCAGTCCCTGTTCTGGCCAGCTGCCAAAAAAAAAAAAAAAAGGTCTTGGACATTGCAAGGAAATGATGAACCTCACACTGAAGTACCTCTGTTGGTCCAGCTCCAACATGGGCAGATCATGGAGAAATAAATATTTCCCTATATCGTTGTGATTGTATTTCTAATGGACACTCTCTGGTACTGATGTTAGAGAAATAATACAAAACATTGTTACTATGCTTCAATTCTGTTAGTCAAAAATATTTATATTTTTCTTCTGTTGTTTTTTTTTTTCCTTCCTTTAAAATGAGGATATACTCCAACACAGAGGTTGTGACCTTTATTCTTAACAAAGTGTTCAATTGAAACCACTCGGCTCGTTTTAAAAAAATATATATATATATATATATACACACACACACACACACACAATCGGGAGTGGGGGGCTGGAACCTTTTCAGTGGTAAAGAAATAGGTTTTAACTAAAAAAGATTATGTCCTTTTTCCATCTGGCTGCCTTAGGCTAAGAGAAAAATGAAAGGCTAATAACAAAAATCATGGAGTTTAATTTCTCTTGCACAAAAAAGAAGTAGCAGACACAATACAAATGAAGCAAACTTGAAACCACTAAGACTTATACTTCATTCTTTCAGTTAAATATATTGGATATTTGTGGAACACTGTTTTGTAAGCATAGACATTTTTAATTAAGGTGTCAAATTGCATAGTTCTGGTAACTGGAGTCAGTGAGGCAGAAAGAACCGGAAGCTGACTTTCTGATCAGTGTCTCAGTCCTATATTATAATGATCACACAGAGGTGGCCCCTAGAGTCAGGCTGACCTGAGTTAAGGCTGTCCTATCTCATGGCACATGTGTCTTAGGCCATCACGTCACCTCATGGCTTAGTTTCCTTACTTTACTGTATGTGGATAAAGGAGTATGTACTACATGATTGTTGGGAAGACTAAATGAGATAATCAGTGTAGAGTTTCTCCCATAATGCATGGCACATAGTAATTGCTCTACAAATAGGATTAATATTCAACTCAGCTCTGAGACCTTGGGCAAGTCCTTTAATTCCACTGACTCTTAGCTTCTCTATTTGTAAAACAAGAATAATGTGCTGCCTGTTAGCTCAGTTGGTAAAACAAGAATAATATTTATCCTTCCTGCCTACTTACCCATGGTATCGTTGTAAGGATCAAGTGAGAGCATGTCTTGAAAGGACTTTTAAAAATGAATAGTTAACGAACCAGTTGGGAAGGCAAAGCTGTACACAACATGACACAATTAGGAAACATTACAAGGCGATGTGTAATCAGGTGTTGGTTGGCCTGTGAGGACCGGATAGGTTCAAAAAAAGGCCATTGTAGACATTCAGAGAAAGGAAAGACTGTTATGGCCTAATGGTGGGGGACAGCCCATATAGAGTTGGGGAGCATTCAGCTGAGCCATGAAGAAAAGACAGGATGTGGCTGGAAGGAGCGATCCTCCTTACACTGACGACTCCTGCTGGCTGACCTTCACTGTGTGTCTTCTGTTGTTACAGGCCGAGCTCATTGGAAGCCTCTCCCGCAAGCTTGAGACCCTCCAGGAAGCAAAAGGGAGTCTGCTCATGGACATCAAGCTCAATAATGCCTTGGGAGAAGAGGTGGAGGCTTTGATCAGTGACCTCTGCAAGCCTAATGAGTTTGACAAGTACAGGATGTTCATAGGAGACTTGGATAAGGTGGTGAATCTGCTGCTCTCCCTCTCAGGGCGCCTGGCTCGTGTTGAGAACGTCCTTAGTGGCCTTGATGAAGACGCCAGTAATGAAGAAAGGGTAGGTGGCCTAGCAATTGTTGAACAAGTTCTCCCTCTCAGCCCGCGTACACAGAGAGATGACATTAGACATGAATCCCTTCTCTCAGGAAGATTTGGGGCAATCTTATACCCAAAATATGGGACAGTCTCTTTGGGGCAGGGAGAGAATATAGCATATAGACAACCAAGAAACCAAGAAGGCATCTTCCGTGCCACGATGTAATGTTGACACTTAAGGCTCAGGGAATATTTAGGAAAGTAAAAACATGGGTGCCAGAGTTTCTTTCTTCCCAGCCCTCTTCCTTCGTTTCTTTCCTGAAGAAGAAAAGACAAAAGCATGATGGGTATTGATATTTAGAAGAGAGAGCGATGACAAAACAGTTGGGGGGTTGGGGATGAGGAGGGGGAAGGAATGTGAGCTCAGGGCGGCAGGGAATCTGCATGTGATGGTCCACAGGTGTCTCCACTGCACCCCCTACTGGAAGGAAGAGGACAGGTAACAAAAGTGGTCGAGAGAGCGATGACAAAACAGTTGGGGGGTTGGGGATGAGGAGGGGGAAGGAATGTGAGCTCAAGGCGGCAGGGAATCTGCATGTGAGGGTCCACAGGTGTCTCCACTGCACCCCCTACTGGAAGGAAGAGGACAGGTAACAAAAGTGGTGATCATGCTGGAGAAAACTAGCCAGGACCTCCTCTGTGTCAGGCACACCCTGCAGTCTCATTGAATCCTCATAGCAGACAGTAAGTGATGGAGTCAGGGTATGATGGGTTCTACTTCCGAAGCTAAGACCATCCTTCGTCTCTGCTCATCTATACAGCAAATATTTATTAGGTGTCTAGTGTATACCACCTACTGGTCCAGGCACATGGGATACATTTGTGAACAAATCAGATCCCTGCCCTCATGGCACTTACTTATCAGGGGAAGTTAGACAAACAGTAGATATAACGCGTGTGTGTGTGTGTGTGTGTGTGTGTGTGTGTACACTTTGAGAACCACTGTATGAGGGTACTTCAAAAAGTTCATGGAAAGATTTGTATTATCTTTTAATTCCATTTTTCTACGAAGGTTTTGAAATACCATTGTATCAGCTTAAGTACTCAAGGTACTTTGATGATTGTTTTTTTAAGTCTGGAACCCAAAAGTGAAATGATTACCCCAGCCACTTTAATGTAACCCTTCTCAGAGTGAAGCTACCAAACCACTTGTGAGATAGAGAACCATAGAATATGCAACACAAAGGTACCAAACTGATTTCCAAAAAGTAAGGACACTTGAGAGCAACAGTTGAAATAGAAACTTAGATATTCTGCAGTCCTGTAAAAGGTGTCCTCGCAGGGAGTTGGGCTCTTTTCCTCCTCCCTCTAGTCCTTTGCTGATCTGTTTATCTTGCCCTGGCAGAGCTCTCTCAAGGAGAAGAGGAAGATCCTGGCAGGGCAGCACGAAGATGCGCGGGAGCTCAAGGAGAACCTCGATCGCAGGGAGCAGGTGGTTCTGGGCATCCTGGCCAATTACCTGTCAGAGGAGCAACTCCAGGATTACCAGCACTTTGTGAAAATGAAGTCAACGCTCCTTATTGAGCAGCGAAAGCTGGATGACAAGATCAAACTGGGCCAGGAGCAGGTCAAGTGTCTGCTGGAGAGTCTTCCCTCGGATTTCATGCCCAAGGCCGGGGCTCTCGTTCTGCCCCCAGACCTGGCCAGTGAAACAACTCCTGTGGGGGGTTGTACTTTCAGTGGTGTTTTTCCAGCATTAACCTCTCCACTTTAACCTCTTCTAAAATACCCAACCAAAAGATCACCATTTCTCTCCACACTTTAATATGAGAAATGTTGCAGTACAAACACTGTTTGAACTGTATAGGTTATTGGCGTTTTTCTGGATAAAAGGAAAAAAATTCTGTCCAGGAAGAAGCCTGTTTTTTCCTTCTTGCCCTTCATGATTGATCTTTGAGAGTTTGAATGCTGCTGGAAGCTTATGCCTTTCTATTATTACTTTGTAGTAGAAAGAAAGTTAATGAAACTGACTGGAGAGTTTTCATTGATCATTTAGTTTTTAACAGGCTGAGGCAACATAGATCAGTGTGTGCAACCCTCAGGAACGTATCCACAGTGGCCTTCCTTGCTGGTGGGCGGTGTATCCTGACGACAGGTACAGGTACCGTTAACGAAGGGTCTGCAACATAAAGCCTTAAAAAGACACAAACACGCACACACTGAGAAGAAAATTGTAAAACCTTGAACATTGTTATTTATATTTTTAAAAATGAAAAAGATCATTATGTTTGTGTGCTAACCACTTATTTGATTGTATTTTGTGGTGGACGTAGACAATTATATTTGAGCTTTGTATTTTGTGAAAACCTTAATGAAATGAAGAATTCCAAAGATAGTCACAGTGAGCATGGAGACGTTTGTTTTTTCTTACACTCTTGACTTGTCTGTCTTATTTTTACATACATGAGTAGACAGTGCACATTTGCATTAGCCTGAGTGTGGGGGGACCCCATCTTCCACTACTGCCAGTCCTTACCCCTTTCCTCCTGTACGAAACAGGAGTGTACACACCCTCCCCAGGAGGAAGGCTTTATGCAACATGCTTATCACATCATTTCCTAGTGCTTTCATGTCATTATCACTGTGGTGGGGAGATAAAACTAAATTTTATTAACAAGGACAACTCTTGAAATTGTATAACAAGAAGAGGAAGTCCAGAATCCAGAACAATTCAAAACTGAGTTCATGCTGTTCTCCTGTATGGGATTTGGGCTAAATACAACCTATTTAGTGAGATATATAATCAGCTGTTTTAATGATGCTTTAAAATAAGTTTGTTTTCCTAAAATGTCAGACCTACTAACCGCACTTTTATTAAACACTCCCTCCTTAACTTCTGAAGACTGATTTTGCAGTATCATGTTTCAATAACAGCATCTCAAAGGGTACTCTAGCCCATATCGGAAGGATGAGAAAGTTATGGGCCAGCAGGTAGCTGTTTATAGCACTGGAGATGGCATTAGCCTAATACTTTGAGCAGGTGGTACATCCCAGGCTGAGCTTTAGGTTGGTTGGTTTTGTTTGTTTTGCGAGGCTTTCTTTCTGATCTCTCTATTCTGGGTCAAGAAAACCCACAGGGAGAAAAGAGGCACCAAAAGCCTCCTTTAGTACCCTTTGCTTCTCAGACCTTTCTTCAAATTCCCTACAGTCATGGTAGCTCTCCAATTCACTGATAAGGATTAAAACATTTTCAAGATCTTATAGTTGTTATCAACTGGATCACTTTAGTGAACAGCTAGTGTTCTATCCTCTAGTACTTAACCATTGCTCTGTTTGAGCAGATAGGAAATAAGACGGTAAAACAAGAAGCAGAGGCCTAAAAGGAAAGTGTCTGGACAAAGTACAAAGCCCAACCTTGTGTTTTAACTACCCCCATGTCAATTCTGAACCCCAAGTCATTCGACAAGCCTTGGCTCCAACTGAGATGCATGTTGGGGATGGTATAAGGCTGAGGTGTTTGTTTTTTTTAATATGTGTTTGACCTGTGGCTGGTGGCCACCTCTTGATTTGGACTTACAAGTACCATAGCGGCCAGTCATAGAAAAATGTGAGAGTAGAATTTGTTGGTAAAAAAATGATAAAGGCACCAAATTCCCTTTCTTTCCTTAGTACATTTTAATTATTTACTGAAATTTTATCTTCTGGTTAAAAATATAAAAACTGTAGTCTTGGTTCCCAATACAGATGTCTTCCGACTCACTTAGAACCAATAGGCCACCCAGAAGTTTCTTGTGAGCAATCAATAAAAGCTATCGCTTTGTTCTTTGGAGCTTATATACTGTGTGACCCCCTTTGATACAAATAAGGCAGCGCCTTGGTTTCCCAGGAATGTTTTCAAAGCTTCTCTCTTACATTCAGAGGTCCCATCTCCCAGGGAATTAGTGGAACCAGTGACAGCGTTCAGCAGCCACACTACATGGCTGTTTTGAAATAAATACAGTGCATCTACCTGACATTTTGTCAGACTTAGGCCAACACGGGAGCCGGAAATCAACTCCAGTTGGTGATTAACTGTGTCTTGCTGATACCGAGTGTTCCCTGCAGCCAGGACAGGTTGAAGCCAGCCAGCAAATGTCTGCAGCTGTTCTCAGTGAAAATTCCTCACAGGAATTCTGGGGCTCTTAGTTCATAGCATTTTACTTCTTCAGGATTTGACTGGGGAATATTTCGCATATTCAGTCTTTCTCAATGACTTTTCTAATTTATACATGTAAAAGTAAGTGCCCCCACAGTAAAGTAACAGGTGATGCTTCCTGGCATGCCACAAGCACCTGAAAGCTTATCACACTCCTAGGACTGTATCTGTTCTTTTGTTACACTAAAATGTCATGTTGCTATGTGAAATGAGTAGGGTACCAAGTGGGACTTTGAAATCTAATTCTTAGGTGGATGTAATATTTATTGTAACAGGACCTGACCTCTGTTTTTTGAAGAAATTACCCAATTTTCAGTTTACTTTTAAATTCCTTTAGCTAGAAAAGAAGCCTATGTATATGTATTTACCTCTTTCCTATTTTGCATTCTTCTCCCACTATTAAAAAAACTCATTTACAGTAGAAACCACCCTTCTTCCAACAATGTCCTCCAAGATCACAAGAACAGCAATCAGCATGTTGGTAGTCAGGGTTTCAGGACACACGTGATGTCACTGAGAATAATTTGTTCATGTCAATAATTGCCCCTTGGGGATGTGATCATTTAGGAGATACACTTCCCATCAGAAGTCTAGAGTGAATCTAGAAATGAGACTGAGAGACTAGAAATACTCTAAATGCGGATACTCCAGAAACCTATGAAGTTCCAGGAAAGGACAAATTGGGAGGCCTCCACTTCCTGGGCCACTTGAGAAGTTCCTGAGCATGTTGCTACAAGTTGGTTGACTCAGCCTTTTCACGTGCTGTTTTGTTTCTTGTGGCTGCTTAAGCCCAAAGAATGCAGGCCGGATTCATAGTGAAAGTGTCCAGAGTTTCTCTAGGACACTGTCAAAACCAAACATTTTTTTCTTTGCTCCAGAGGAACATTTTAGATTTTGTTTTGCACAGCTGGTTCCCAAACCTGAAGATTAGCAAATTTGGATCAACCCCTAAGAATCAGTGGCTGTCTTTTGAGGAGAGAGGGCATAATTGAGGTCCTATGAGGGGGTATAAAGGAGAAACAGCCTGGGACATCCTGGTGTTTCTATTACTCCATTGCTAATATCTGATCTATAATCACTTATGAGCTTAAAGTAATTATATTCTTTGAGCTCTACCTTTAAACTTGTATTTCATGCAAACATCTTGAATTAAGATATTGGGTTTTTTCTGGATGCCTAGAAAAATGTTGGGGTTTTTTTCTTATAAGGGTTCAGATTTATTTCTCCTTGGTCTAGTTGTCCATGATATTGCTAGCTTTATACTGTTAGGTTAAAATAATTTTTTCTTTTTTAGAACAACATAGAGTTTTATTTCCCTTACTACTGAAAAGAAAAAGAAAGAACTTCAGCCAGAAAAATACTTCTTCATCTCCAGCAAGGTATAAAGTTGTCAGACGAATGTGAAGAGGCCACTCGGCATAGAAATAGATTATTTGGGACAAATATTTATTACTGCCTTAACTCTTTGGATGACGCATGGAATAAAGTGATAAAGACCATTTTAATATCAGACAGGGACACATGAACAGTTTTCTTATTCTTATTTCTAAGTAAACCTCACTTTTCTTATGGGAGCTCATCCAGGCACTACTAAATCATGGTATCTCAAAGTGCGGTCAAGATAATACCTGCATCAGAATCCCATGGAATGCTTGTTAAAAATACCAGTTGTTGCAACACAACCAGCTAGGCTAGGAATCTGCATTTTTATGTTTCCCAACTTATTCTGATAAGCTACTGTCAAAATCATTTGTACAATTTCTATTGTTATGACAATAGTAAGACTAGCACGAATTTATGTAATAATAATCTCAGAATAATAATTTCTTAAAAAATTAAAATTAAAATAAGCAAAAGTAACCTCAGAAGTTCAAAGCCCAGGGCCAGCCCGGTGGCGCACTGCTACAGTGCGCCGCTTGGGAAGCGTGGTGGCGCTCCCGCCGAGGGTTCGGATCCCACATACAGACCGGTTCCCGCTCACTGGCTGAGCGAGGTGCGGGCGCAGCGCCGAGGGTTGCGATCCCGTTGCCGGTCCCGGTCCGGTACGGGCGCGACACTGAGGGTTGTGATCTGTTGCCGGTCACGAAAAAAGACAAAAAGGAAAAAAAAAAAAAAAGTTCAAAGCCCTGTCATATTTACTCTCATTAGCTACATTATTATAAGTTTATATTGTCCCCACTATTTTCTTCAAAACCCTGTCATATTTACTCTCATTAGCTACATTATTATAAGTTTATATTGTCCCCACTATTTTCGTACTCCTCAAGGTTGTGATAAGCATTTTTTTTCCTGCTCACTCACCCCTAGATCTGTTTTAAATTTAAACAAGCAGTCTCAATTGCACTGAGACTCAATTTTTCCTCAAAAGGAATCAGATACTGTCAGTAATGTGAAGTTCTGCTCTGAGTGAAATGAATCACAACTGACCTTTTCAGTGGGGACCTCACTCAGATTTCTGCTGCTTCATCACAAGTCTCACACTACCTGTGAGTCAGAATCTCTTGGCTTGGATTTGATGATCCAGCTAATGAAACAAAGATATGTTAATTTCCTTTGAGAAGTGAAAGGAGCTGTCATCCAATTTCAAAATTCTAACATCAGAACTAGGTAAGAAAAAAAGTTGCAAATGAAGAAACTGGCTCATTTATTCCTACTTGATTTTATAAATTCCTCTCTAATCTTCTGTAAGTGGAAAGGCAGCTGCATGTCTTGCTAAAACAGTATTGTCATTGCTTGACACAGTGGATTGAATAGAGGAAATTTAATATAAAGTATTAAATTCTAATAAACTATAGGATATAGGAAATTCTATGTGGTATCCTAGAACTGAGGAAGAGTATCCAAGAAAGAAACTTGGAAAGGATCCCCCTCCCCAAGGCTAGGGTTCAGACCTCGGAGAACTGAACTTGGCCCACATAGCAGGGAAGTTGGCTCTTTGTCCAGGCCAGAGCTGGTCTGCAGTCCCTCGGCAAGCAGGAGACAATGCTCCAGAGTGCAGGTGGGTAAAGTCATCTGCAACCCACAGCATGGCTGTGCACATGTAGTAGGGGGCATGCAGAATGGGTGATGGCTTAGTGGGAACTCTCTGGTTCGCAGGTGATTCGAGCAGCACCTGCAGAGAGTCAGGGAGCCTGGTGTTGGCAGGCGGCCCTTTGTGGCACTGAAGCAAGCAGGAATCTCTCAGAGCTCAGGTTTGTAGTTGACAGGCCC